CCTGGGATATATATTCGATCCCGGCTTTCTTAATGCTTTCTTGAATGTCTTAAATGAATATATTTTTTAAGTATGAACAAATTACTTGTCAATGAAATTATGAAATGAAAAAGAACGGCAGTGGACCTCAATTCCCGTGATCTTACGATCCGGCTTTTCTGAAAAACTATATTCTTGAACTGGTCAATTCCCGGGATCCCTTTATGTTCAATACGATCCTGGCTTTTCTGAAAACCATATTTTTACACTGGTCAATTCCCGGGACCCCTTTATGTTCAATACGATCCTGGCTTTTCTGAACAAACTATATTCTTAAACTGGTCACTTCCCGGGACCCTTATATGTTTTAATACGATCACGGCTTTATGACAGACCTGCTTATAATAATGAAATTATAAGTGATTATGTAAATATATACTCTTGCTCTTATAATACATAAAATACATTTATGATACATTGTTTTTAGAAACAAAACCTTAAATAATCCAATTTTGTTTTAATATACTCTTGGTCATACTTATAACAAAATTTTCTGTTTCATGCACGTAAAAGAAAATTGCCACCATCTAATCATCACACCAAATGCATCCTAAGGCATTGGATCATTAATTAACGTCTTATTTTTATTTCGACATGACTGTTTGGTTTCTTAAATAATATGAGTGGCAATGACTTATAACAACTGTAATTTTGTGCCGTTGGTAATATCCATCAACCATTTCTTGTCTTTTTCGTTTTCGGACAAGACTGGTTTTCTTTATGGATAAACTTGAAAACTTTAAATAACAATGTACATATTATGCTTGTAATATTGTAATAGTCACTGTATTATTTTGTATAATATATCTTGTTGTTAACCTAATTCATTAGTGTTCATGATGTAATTTTGTATATATTGTATGTATTGTATGTTCTGCTAATTGGAGGAAATAAAAGAATCTATCTACCTATATGTTTTAATTCGATCCCCGCTTTTCTGGCTGCGATTTTTATAATCTTTTTGTAGAACATTGAAAACAGTAATTCAAGTTACATAACTTGATGAACATTTAGATCTGCAAGATAAATTAATCATGGTAAATGGGAAATAAAATGATGATGCTGCAATAAAAAAAATGCAACACCTTTATTCGATTCGATATATAATGCATTAAAGATTTATTACGCTAAAAATTTATACTTGAAAATACTAATAATTTATGTAAAATTAACATATTTTAGTACACACATGTAACATATACTATCTTTACACACGATATCAGCAAACACAGTACGACCGTACGAATGCACTGTCATAAATAATGTAATTTTAAAAGAAGGGACCAAAATAACTTGACCAATTATAGGGAATGCAGCTTCCCAAACAAAGTATGTGCTCTCATTTCAATAAATTTATGCAAAAGGGGACTTTTTGGGGATGCATTTATAATCGTAAGGTCAAACAAAACAAAACAAATAATAAACATTTTTTGGCATATAAATATCAATAAAAAAAAATATGTGAAAATATGGCCGAAATTTTTTTTATTTTTATAAAAGTTGTTCATGAAAATCCTCCCTAATAATACAGCGCAGTAATATTTTGATTATTCATCTAAAAGTAGTCCCAAAAGTAATTATGAATATTGAACTCCGCCCACTTTAGTTTGTCACAATTTCTCTTATTTAAACATGTATAAATTTAATGATTTGCACAATTGATAGTTAAATTTATAACGATTAAAGTATTTATTTATTAAATGTATTTGACGTTTTATAAAGCTACATGTCTTCAGATGAGCCAAATTATTTCAAGAAAATCAAACTTAAGAAAAAAAATGTTATGATTTTAAGAAAAATAAAAAAAATTCAAGACAGAAGTAATAATTTCCATGTTATCTGCGATTTATAACCGATTTTGCAGTATTTTTCGTCATATTTTTCCGCGTTTATACGCAATAAGGGCTAATGTTGCATATGTAAAATATACATGTGTTGTAAGTGCTAATTTGAAAATTATTTTCTTTGTTCACTCTAGAATATTTACTTTTTAATATATTAAGTTTTTATGGAAATTAACATGAATTTAGAGGCGTGCTGCTTTAACAGTCATTGAAAAAAAGAGAATAGCATTATAATTTTACTTTGAATTTCATTCGCCATATTTTAACAATGTTGGCTCATTTATATATATATTTAAAATGTTAAGGTGGTAATAAAACGATATAGCCGTATTACAAACACTGTAGGCTAGGGTCGTGAAGCTAGAAAAACGCAGATGTGTTTGCGGAATGCCAGATTTTATAGACGACATAATAGCTAGGATGCGAAAATCGCAAATGCAATAGATGGTACCATTTAAGCTGTGTTGGAATTAGTAGAAAAAGATCTATTACTGGTTGGTAATGGGAATGTTTAAAATGTAAAAACATTAATTCATATAAATGTATATCAATTCATGTTGCTATATTATTGAAAAAGTTGTTTCAATTTGTTGTTATTTATTTTATATTTTCTTTTTCATATCATTTTTCTACAAATATACTTTATTCAAATGTACTGTTTAATTTAAACTTTAAAGCAGCACGCCTCCAGATTAATGCTAATTTTCATAAAAATTTAAATGTATTAATATGTAAAACATAGTGAAGTGACCAAAGATATTAATTTATACTAACATTTCACGTTAATTACCAATAAAGTTGCAAGAACTTGTTTCGCAATCGAGCTTAAATAAATATGTTTAAACCAATTACCAATAAACGGTCAAATATGCAATCAAAGCACAGAAGGCGCTGAATTTGTTTGGGTCTCAGAATGTCAGAAAGGTGAAGGTTGTGAGATTATAAAGTAAAGTGCCACCAATGCTTTCCAGCGTTTTAATTGTAGTAAATTGGCTATAAGACTTATTTAAACACTGATATTCAATTCAATGTTTATTTGACTTAAACAATTTGAAAAAAAATGAGTTGCCTTAACTGGGATGTGAACTCTCGCTTCCTAAGCGAGCGCGCAAACCACTCGGCCACCGTGAATTTATTAACAGCCTGAAGAAAACTATATTATTCTAGGTTAGGGTTTGTAACGACGCTAACAGAGATGTAAATAATCATGGAGCTTACTATAAGCATGTATATCTATAAAGAATAAAACAATATTAGAAATCTTCGACCATTCGGGAATTATTTTGCTTGAAATTTAATACGCCTGTCATTTGACCATCTTTACGCAGTGATCTCCCTTGAATTTTTCGGCGTCAGTGAAGTAGCCGCTTCAAAAAAAGCGGACTACTTTCGGCACTTGCAATTAACAGCATTAGAGTCTGAAATTTCGCTACCATTATTTGTTTGGTCTGACGATCCAAACAAATAAAACAGTCCTATTTGCGTTGGTTCATGGAAGTTTAAAAATGGGAGGATATGGCCGTAAAAGTATAACACATCAGATTATGTCAAGGTATTAGATGTATAAATGACAATGTTTTAAACTTTTTATTGTCGTGGCACAAATAGAAGTAAGAGCCGCCGGCAAACGGGGACGTCAGACATTTTCTAAAACAACAGAAAAAGAAGATTGAAGTAACAACTTTAAAATATAATTTCATATTCCTATTTGACCTTGAAAATCAATGTCATTTACAGATCAAGGTCATACGTACAGTGTTCAACACGTCTGTGTTGTCATAAATATTGTTTTGTCCCAGTATGAATCAATTATGATAAATTACAAAAATAAAAAGTTCAGGTCAAAGTAACATTGATGTCAAGGTCAAACTTAAATAATACAACATGACAGTTTTGCAATAATGGTTGTTTTATCAATGTATAAATAAAAAAACACAATTATCGCAAAATTCAATAATTAGACCTTAACGTCAAGATCACTTTAAGGTCTTATTACATCTATTGTGTCGATATGGCTTTTTGTTCAAGTATGAGTAAAATACCTACAAAAATAACAAAGTATTGAAAAGTTAAGCTGAATTTAATAATGTGACCATAACGGTCAAGGTCATATAAAAGTCAAAGTCATATTTGAATTAAACATGTCGGTCTTGGCATTAGTGTTCTTTTGTCTTAGTATGAATAAAAACAGTAAAAAATATCAAAGTAATGTCAATTTTAGCAAATTTCATTGATTTGTCTTCCAAAGTCAATGGTCTTTTAAAAATTAGCGTCATATTTGAATTATTTAACGTGTCGGTTTTTGTTACAATCGTTCCTTTTTACAGGTATGGACCAATCTGTAATAGCAGAATTGTTACAATTTGAGCTAAATTAATAATTTAACCTTGACGGTTAAGGTCATTTAAATGTAAAGGTCCTTTTTTATTTTTCAAAATGTCAGTTCTATCAAAAAATTCTTTTGTCAAATTTCGACAATGAATATCAAAAGTATGACAGTTAAAGCTTAAATTCAATAATTTGGCATTAACGGCCAAGGTCATTTAAATGTCAAGGTCATATTTAAAGAATACGACATGTCATTTATTTCATAAGCGTTCTTTAGTCCAAGTATGAATAAAATCCATAAATCATTTGCACAGTTATGACAATTTAATTCACAAGTGTGATTAAAATTGCTGTATTTTTAAGTTTAATTTACATCAGTGTGATAAGATGTGCTAGAGTTTTTAGTTTAATTTATCAGTGGGATAGAATTTGCTAGAGTTTTTAGTTTAATTCATCAGTGGGATATAATTTGCTAAAGTTTTTCAGTCTTATTCCAACCTTGAAAAAACGTATTAGACGTAAAGTATGAATATTTTTCAAACTTTCTTTACCCAGTGCTTAATACATGCACTACTAAACGTACTTTTGCTTGGATTGATACTAATTCTATTTTACGTATTTGCAAGTTGCAAAATAATCAAAGTAAAACTGTGGATGTTCTGACTGAGATTTTAAATAGAGTACGTTTATTTCACAATTGTGTATGACATTTAAGTTGTGTAGAATAGTGTAATAAAAACAATATGGTACTTTAAAGGTAAACAAAAAAATTTAGAATAGATACGAGATGTGTAGAATGTACTTTTCATATAAAGAAACACACATTGAAAATAGTAATATAACGAATCATATGACGAAAGGAAATAAAATAAAAAACAATTTATTAACAGTAGTCTCGTTGAAAACGCTAGCCAAATCGGATTAAACCGATGCAACATGAAGGCGTATTAAAATGGGATTAGATACCTACATTGTCAACAAAAACACCACCGTTTTTCTGTTGTTGTGTTTTCTGTTGTTATGTTTATGGAATGCGAAATTAAACAATAAATTTTAATCATCCGTAAATTTTCCGTCATCAAATCTCTTAAATTAAAGGAATAAGGCATTGTAATTACTTGTTAGATTAATCCATCAAAAGATCTCACGAAACGATTTTTGTGGACATTTTGTTGTTTGTTTTTAGAGTTTTTGATAACTTTGAAAAGAAAGCGATATTGTTAAATAGTCAATAAAAAATTTATAAGGAGGAAAATGTCTGAAATAAACGATAATCCTCATATCAAAGTTTTTAAAGGAATTGTCGATATTGATGAAGAAAATTTAGTTGGAACATCGGAAGAAGAAAAAGGGAATATATTAGAAATTGGCGCTGAAAATGAGCAAGAAAGGGCAATAGGAGAGGAAAAAGTGGAACTGTTCAGCAAAGATGGTGAATCAAATGGACTGATTATTAACGGTAAAAAAAGTGAACAAGGTGATACGAATCCTGCAGGAAAAGGAGACACTAAACTTGATCAGAAGACAAAGAAAACTGCTGAAGGTATAGAATCATCCAATGATAACGCAAAAGCTATGGCTAAAAATGGTCAAAATTTACAAGGCGCTGTAATAATAACTAGTGCTCCAGTAGCTACAGCCGGTCCAAAACCTAAACCAAAGTTGGAAAGAAGAAAGTCTCTAAATCCACGAGTTATGACCCCGCCTGGTCTAGAGGTACTGGATAACATCCAGCTACTGGCAATAAGGCAACAAATGGAAATGGATATTCATAGTAGGTGGCTGTTTCATATATTGACATTATTATTATTATTATTATTATTATTTTATATTTAAAAACTCTATAAATTTGTGGATTTGCAGAAAAGGAAAGGTGATATTCTAATATCTGTTTTAAAATCATCTTTTTTTAGTCATGCAATGTTTTATTTTACCAATATGCTATTAACGTATTGTTACGAAAGCCTAATAGTGTCAAATAAAATAAAAACATAAAAATGCAAAGGCGTTATTACGTGAATAAAGGCGTTATTACGCGAATGAAAAGGCGTAATTACGCAAATCAAAATGCGTAATAACGCGAAAAAAGGCGTAGAAACGCGAATAAAGGCGTTGTAACGCGAATCAAAAGGCGTCATAACGCTAATAAAGGCGTTATAACGCGAACCAAAACGCGTAATAACGCCTTTATTCGCGTTATAACGCGAAACAAAAGGCGTAATCACGCAAATCAAAAGGCGTAGTAACGCGAACAAAGGCGTAGGAACGCGAACCAAAAGGCATAATAACGCAAATCAAAAGGCGTTATAATGCCAATTTAATACCATATGTTTACTTATCAAATAGCCTAGTAACGTGATAAAGGAAGAACAATATTGATCTGAATTTATTGCTCAAGATATAAACTCGTAAAGAATAATATAAAATACATTTACAATAACTATCATTCCATTTGCGCAGTAATATTGCAAACTTTTGTCATAAACTAATGAAGACTCTTTGATATTTGCCAATATAAGGTGACTTGGAGACTTAAAGGTCCATTGGGTTATATGTCAATACAGTTACTCTGAATTAAGAGGTTAATACACGGCAGGAGAGGGCCGGAAGGTGATAATCGGCCCGCAAAATGAATAATGGACCCGAGGGCTTTAGCCCGAGGGCCATTATTCATTCAGGGCCGATTATCACCTTCCGGCCCTACTCTGACGTGTATTAATGTCTTTAATACACTTGGTAGATCTAATAGTAGCATTTAAAAAAACAAAAAACAAAAACAAACAGCAAAGTTCTTTCGTTTAAAAATTCTTGTCTACTCTTCTACTGTTCTGTACAGAGATGTTTACTGTTTGTGTGTTCAAAGCAGTAGAATCTAGAAGCAAGTTTTATTTTATTTTTTTTTTCGGAATGAATTTGTCGTATTATTTCATCAAATTTTAATAGTAACAAAAATGTGTTTGTACTAAATACGCTTAATCTCTCATAATAAAAATAAAGCGATTCGTGCTGACAACCTACTTTCACTTTTACAGTTAACTGTTTGATGACGTAAAATATGACGTCATTGTTTCAGTTTGTGCACGTGCACATGTTCTGCGGGCTGATAACTAGTTCTCGGCCCCGGGCCGCAAACTCATAATAGGTCACGTGACACTCATAATCAGTTGAAATCATAGGCAATTTTGTTACTATATATAGTAACAAGTGTATTAATCACATGTATCACATCATTGATTTTACACATGTCACTATATTACAAGAATTTCTTTTCTTTTCTTATATCTTATCTTATCTTATTTTATATGTGCGTCATATGTTCAATTATCTACGGATATGTCCTGTATAATTACTAAATAACCTGTAGTATCTTTTAATTATATGAATGTCGTTCCTAATTACGCTATAGGTAATAGGCTTAAGGTAACAATATTTGGAAAAACGTAAGATATACTTAAGTCACATTAGGGCGTTATTACGCGTTTTGATTTGCGTTATAACGCCTTTATTCGCGTTATGACGCCTTTTGATTCGCGTTATAACGCCTTTATTCGCGTTTCTATGCCTTTTTCGCGTTATTACGCATTTTGATTTGCGTAATTACGCCTTTTTATTCGCGTAATAACGCCTTTATTCGCGTTATAACGCCTTTGCATTTTTATTTTTTTATTTTATTTGACACTACATAAGGCTTTCGTATATTGTTTTATAAGTTAATTATGAACAATTATAAGTGAAAAGAATAAAACTATTACACTATTTACAATTTGATCTTGCCATTTATTTATATGGATCGCACATGTTTCTGATGGTGTGTACTATTCCCCATTTATTATTTATGGAAATATTTCCCCAGTAACTTCAATTCATAATATACTTAAACCAATCCATTTATGAATATTGAAGGTGGCTGCGGTGCACCTAACACATATAGAGTTTGGGATGTGAATGATGAACAAATATTCTTCGCTACTGAAGGTTAGTATGAGTACCACTAGTATGGTATACTAGTATTCATCACACGTTTTATTTTTGATAAAATGATTCGAAATAAAATAATGTGTGTGTGTGTGTGTGTGTGTGTGTGCGTGTGTGCGTGCGGGCGTGCGTGAGTGTGTGTGTGTGAGTGCGTGTGGAAATTATGCACATAATTCACACGAAATAAAGGCAAAACCGCAGTCGGGACTCGAACGCCCGTACAGTATGCTAACCACTATGTACACCACAGCGGCCGTTGCTTTTTATTCGTGCTAATTGACCTTATATATTTAAGTTTGGGAGTCATTTATCACCTTTTTTTCAGAATCGGGATGCCTCTGTCGATGGGCGTGCGGTCCTGCGCGGCCGTTTTCCTTGGACGTTTTTTCGGCATCAGACGATCAGGTTTTAAACTTTCATAGGATTTCATGCCGATGTGACTGTTGCTGTTGCTTGGATTGTTTGATGTGTTTGCAAAAACTCTACGTTGTTGACTGCCTTGGTCGAACACTTGGTGCCATAAAACAAAAGTATGTACAATCTTATTTTAGTCTTTTTGCCATACCTTTACGCATAGGTAGGCCTACGAGGAAAAAAGAAAAAAATGCCATTAATTTGCAGATTATTGAGGTGCATTTAAATCTGTTAAGGAAAAATCATGATATGCAGATGAAAACATGAGGATAAATACTGGTGAGTTTAACTGTTTTGTATCGAACCACCAGATAAATAAAGAGGCTTATTTATAATTTATAATGTGTTACGTACTTTCACGACTGGAAAGTCCATTCGATAAGCTCAATAGGAAGAGGACCGCACATGTTATCCAGTGGTCACTGATCCGATATTCGGCGAGACGAAATTTAATAGTCATTGCCTCTCGAACCACATATGATTTGTCGACGGTCACTGACAGAGTAATTTAAGTTTTCACGGCTACTTTCTCTTTAAATAATTCTACTGTCCTTGTTGGTTTCAACACGATATTATTAGATGAACGTCCAGTAGAGAGGGTAAGTCAGGTGACACATTATTTACATCGTGTACCGCTGAATATCTTTAATTTTGCAATTTTCTATATAATATTGAATGATTTTTGTGATATCAACCGTATAATTTTGTCGCTTAGGGTCTGAGGACACTTCCATGTAATAGAAAGAGCACCGAAACACGAGGCTATCTGATTTGTACGAGGGGCCGTAGCTCCCGAGTATAAATCAGATTGCCGAGTGTTTTGGTGTTCTTTCTCTTTTGTATCATAGTCAAACATCACGTTCCAAGTTTTCATAATATGAAACCCCAGAAAAAATTAACCAATGAACGAGCATTTGTATATGATATTTCTGCCATTTTCCCTTTCTCTGCCGTCACAATAAGTAAACCCCAGCAAAAATGAACCAATCAACGGGCATTATCTGGAGTGCGGGTAACTGATACCTGCACTCCAGTTACCGCACTGTGCATGTATATGTATACGATTTTACTCTGACACTTTTTCAACAGAAAGGATACAAGTGAAATATACTGAAATAACTCCTAAACAATGTGAACAAAGGATTGAACACTATAAGCATTAATTGAGAAATGTTTAAATGACGATCATCATCCATTTGTGATTTATATATGTTAGTTCAAAATTAACAGTTCGATTGTATAGACACACTTTCGAATTATGAGTGTAAAGTTTCTTGCTTAAGGAAACAACGACTTGCCCCTGACGGGGTTTGAACCCATGCGGCTAGCGATCATTAGATCTTCTAACATACCTCTTGGTCTGGCTTCCAAAACTAGATCTTAGTCGCTTTTTAACATTTTTGTTTTTCATCTGATGCAGCTGATCTAAGCCGCTTTTTAACATTTTTGTTTTTTTATCTGATGCGTCATTAAAATCGTGGTGAACATAGAAGCCCGGCGAGTGATCGTGGGTGGAGCCGCCACGAGTAGTAGCAAATATTTAAACGAGAACGAGAATTCCAAATCGTAATGCAAGTAATAGTTCTGCATAGTGCTCTCTCTCCTTTATTTTTTGTATTGAGTATTTTCATTGGTCTAAGGTTTTCACACGACCAATGAAAATACTCCATACGAATGCATCCGTTTATACTTTCATTTTGGATTGAGATTTGACAAATCGAATAAACGGTTCGTTATAGTTTGATTGAACAGTTATTACAAATAATAATAAAATTTCATTATAATTGTATACACAATACAAAAAATTTTCATTCATTTCGGATAAACTGTCGTTTAGTCGGGTTATTAATTTTGACAAAACCCCCAGCGGTCAGGTCTTTGTCGACTTACACTTGCGGTGACTTCGAGAAAACATATCTTCTTATAACTTGAAATGATAGTAATGACAGCTTTAATTACTTTAAGAGTAATCAATTCCCTACCGTTTGGTACCAAGATTTTGAAAATTGGTGAAAAAATGTTGGAGTTATGGAGTTCATATTAAAACGAGTGCTGAAAAATGAGCGACGAGTTGCATATACCTTAACTAAATATATATGTATCAATTTTTTTGTGGGAAACGAAGGAAATTGAATTAAAAGCATATAACAAATATTAAAACATGTTTCAAATGAAAAATACTGCAGTTTTCATGGTTTTGAGAGTTAGGAGGGTTGTAAGAGTGGGTGAGGGGGTGGGGGTTGGGCCCGGGGGTAGTGACCAGTCAACGCGCCGAACACCTAATATTTAACTGTGAAACATCAATTACGTTAACTACAGTCGGAGCTACACGAGACCTCGCATGACGTAACTCGCGGGAGTCGTGTACTATATTTAGAATATATCTTTGTTGACATGATTTCAATATTTATTATTTAAGATAATGTTTTTATTTATTTTCTTTTATCATTAAGTACTTAACTAAAATTATATTGAATACAAAAGTGAGAAAATAGTAATTTATAAAAGAAGTTTGAAGCACATGGGTTCTGTTTTCTTAACCGTCCGCGCAAATTAACCCGTAAAGGTCAATCTCGTAATCACATGGTCAAACATTTTGGCAATATGGCGGCCAAGTGCTGTTTTTTTTACCTGTCGGAAACTATTAGGTAGTTTACGTTCGTAATAAGATTTTTATTTGCCCATCCTTGGCTAATCAACAGGTTCTACATAGTTTTATCAAGGAATGCTTCACTTTACTTCATGGCATGTTCGAGGGATGAATATGAGCGTGTCAGATTCCTGGCACGATTATTGGTGGACTTACCCTATGGGTCTGTCTTCAGCGTTCACGTCATGTCATAGTATATAAACGAGTACGCTGAAGTCCTTAAGCCAACAAACCTCCTAAATCGCATTATTTAATTTTGAAAATTTAGCTTTCAGAGCTGTCCAAAATTTCAGATTCGCAGGAATGTTTTTATGTATTTTGTATTTTTTGTAAATTTTGTAGATTTAGTATTTTCAATGCCAAGTTTGATATCGTCGACCATGACAACAACGTACTGTTCAAGGTACTCGGTCCTTGTTGCCCTTGTAGATGTGCTACAGAGATTTACTTCCAGGTATATAGAATTTGCAGTACAATAGATAAAACATCATTAAAGACACGTTTAAGACAAAAGAAGTTAGTGAGAAAGCAGTATCTCTATGTATGAAATTTTAATTTGACACTATATTACTTATATCATTTATAATACATAGATACTTCTTTAGATGCTACAAAATCGTGCTTCAAATATTTAATATACGTCCGAAAATTTCGGTGTATATTGTTATGCATCTGGTCGTCCGTCTGTCTGTTAGCAGTTAACGTGTCCGGCCTGTATCTTTTAAACCGATGGAAGGAAATTAAAAGGCAGAGATATTAACGATAATGAGACATTGTGCAGAGCGCAGGTTTGACCCTCCTCAGGTCAAGATAAGATCTTAGTCATTTTGAATGAATTTAAAACTTTCGTGTCCGCTCTGTATCTTTTGAACCGGTAGAAAGAAATTAAAACTTTTGGCAGAAATATTACTTATGCAAAACACAGGTTCGGGTTTCTTGAGATCAAAATTGGCCCGTCCCAGGGATTACTTGATTTGTATAGCTTTGTAAAGGAAAACACAATAAAATTCCATTGTCTGAGAGCTTAGATATTTAGCACGTTGCATTGCTCTTATTGTATTTTACAAAACAATGAATCATGCCCCTTAGTTCAATATTGGACTATCTCGGGGGTCATTTAGTAAATACATTTTGGCATACGAAAAACATTACAGACTTATTTTGTGAAACTACAATGACTGGAGCTTAGGTAATTGACATGAAGCATTGCCTTCATGACCCCTACAAATCTGGTATTAATCATGCCCCTTGGGACAATATTGGCCCCGCCCCTGGGGTCACTTAGTTGATAAAATTTTGTATGAGGAAACATATTTAAGTCTTCTTTTGTGAAACTACAATACCTGTCATGTAGCAATGCCTTGTTGACCTCTACAAATTTGTTATAAAACATGCCCCTTGGGTCAATATTGGCCCATTCTTAGGTGCCTCATATTTTATATAGACTTTTATAAGAAAACATACAATTATTTTAGTCACATCGTGGGAAACTATAATTCTTAGATATTTGGCATTACTTCTAATTGTGCCCTTTGGGTCAATATATGTCCCCCGGGAGTCACTTAATTTATATACACTTATGTAGAAAGTCTTATGATGTGCAACTACAATTCCAAGAGCAAAGATATTTAGCATGTAGCATTGCCTTATGGACCTCTGCACAACTGATATTAATCATGTCCCTGGGGTAATATTGGTCCGCCCTGGCTGAGGTCACTTGATGTATATAAACTGACATAGGAAAGCAGATTTAAATCATATTGTGTGAAACTGCATAACCCAGAGCTTAGATATTTGGCATGTAACATCAATTTGTAGATTTCTACAAAACATTTATTAATCATCACCCTTAGGTATTGGCCTGGTCCTGGGAGTCACTTGCTTTACGTAGACTTAGGTATAGGAAAACATCTATTTGTGGGTAAATACAATGCATCTATATTTAGCATATAACATTGCCTAGTAAACCTATAAAGAAGTTTTATAATCATGCACCTAGGGTAAGAAATGCATAAGGATTATTAAGATAAAACATTTTTTTTCAAACAAGTTTCTTTATTACGTCTCTTCCCTAATCTAAAGATTTTTTTTGATTACTCAAAAAATTACATTCTGGCGTAAATTGTCCGCCTATGCGATGCCCTTGGTTTTTGTTGTTGTTCTTTTTTTGCGTTTCCATTTAGATTTTGAACAAGACTGGGGAACGGCAGATCGGACGTATACAGAAGAAATGGGGCGGTGATAGGACGGATAATGTTAATGTTGACCACGAGTACTTTGATGTCACTTGTAAGCTTTTCACTGATCTTTGCCAAAGTGGAGTGGAATTATAAAAGAGCTATATCTAATGCATTAATGTCAATAATTATCAGCTTAATCGTGTTTCTTTACTCTATAACAATATTATTATGGTAAAACACGTCAAGGGCTAAGTTTATCACTTGCTTTGCCATGATAATTACATTTTATCCATAAAACAAATGACCTTCTCTACAAACAATTTTGATTTATGTATTCATCCCAGTAATCAAACGAGCGAGCCATGTTCGTGTAATTTTGTTATTTTCGCTGCTTCTGAAGGATCTCTCTTTACTAGATTTATAATTAACAACAAGTGCCAAGTGCCGTAAATTGCTGTAAAAAGTTGTTATATTTTTGATGGTGCTTCGGGGTCATTAATCCTAACACATTAAGTGTTGAATACCGCTCTAAAACAGACTCAGCCAAACCGAGCCTGCATTTATTTTCATGTTATTTAATTGATTTCATTGTTTCCGAGGTGTTTCATCTTTTCCAGATCTTTATCGAAACTGAAATGGTATAGTTTATATATAGTCGAAAATTTAATTCGCTGATTATTGTTACATTGTAAAATTCAAATATACGAACTAAAATGTCTCCATATTACATTTATTTTATTTTATTAATTTTTTTAAACAGTAAGTTATACTAAGTTACTTGAACAAACACACGGTACTCATTTCAGTTCCTGCGAAATTGGATAGTGTGGACAAAGCTCTCGTCCTAGGGGCTGCCTTCCTTGTGGTAACAAGATGGGTTTTTTTGTTTTTGTTTTGGTTATTATCTGTTAGCTCTTAACATTATAAAAACGATTTCTAATTTAAATTATATAGAGGATATTTGTTTAGTTCAGTGTAAGATCGAAATATATCTCACCGAGTGAGCACCAAAAGGTATATTTCACGAGTGGCTGCGCCACTCATGAAATATGAACTTTTGGTGTTCACGAGGTGAAATCTATTTCGATCTTACATTAAACTAAACAAATTTTCTTTTTATTATATGCAAAGAAACGTTTAAAAAGACATTTTAACTTAGTACTAAATGAAAAGGGCGCCAAATAATAATATAACGTGACGTCATTTACGACGTCACGTCATTAAGTTGGTTTCCAGTACTGTGAACGCTTGTATTTCACTGAAACAACGTACTGGGCTCAAATATTCAAAACAGTGAAATTATCAAATCGATAATTTCACTGTTTCAAACAGTGAAATTACCAGTTTTTAACTCACTGATATATTTCTATAAACCACCGAAAAGCATGTAATAAATGTTGTTTAATACCATTTTTAGGTTATTTAACTATCTAAAGAGTGGTATGGAGCGTTCGTGGCTGAGCGGTTAAGGTCATTGACCCAACAATGCTTTGGGTTTGAATCCCGACAGGACTTCGGATTCTTTCATGTGAGGAAGCTATCTATAGCTAGTTAACGGAACGTCGGTGGTTCTACCCAGGTACCCGTTCGAAATAATGCACAGAAGGGCACATGAGGTCTTCAAACGTAATATTGAGATCAGACAAGATATTTGTTTGTCTTTTTTTTTTGTTTGTTTTGCTTTTGATGATTGTTTGGAAAAACAAATATTAGGTAATGAAAACATATCCACATTCTTATAATATTGCCCAATTACTTTCGACTACTGAGAAGCTTTCCATGAATAAAATGCTGAACTTGAATGATAAAACATAAACATTCAGATAAATACGAAGCTTATAGTAACAGTACACAAACCAGATGTAACAGATTTAACAACATAAATAAATTCATCCTTTATTTTTCTTTACAGAACTGTATGTACCTTGAAATGTCCTAAGCACAGAACTGCGGACGAGTGAATTCAAGAGTTCTTACGTTTTCACAATTTAATGACTAATGCATGTTTGTAACTAAATTGGAGCTTATAACAAATAGTTTGTCATTATTATAAATTTTAATAGGTAAATGTAACCTATCATGTAGGTTTATATGTATGTATATGTATAAAACAATTAAAAGAAAAGTTCCTGGCTTGTGTTCACAATTTCATTAAGATTTTGTAATAATTGATTTCATTGCCCTTTTAACATAAAAGTGGCACAGTGTTCTGCATGATGTATATACTATATATATACAAAACATGTGCTGACTGAACAAGGACTTGTCTGTTTTTACAGTCAAACTTTGATGGACTTGTGAACACATCCGTATGGCAACTATATGACATAGTCTATGTATCTCATTTCACATTTATAAGTCATCATGATTTATAAACACCTACATAGCAGAAATACCAACATTACAATTGTTGAACATTTAATTTTTATGTTGTTTTTATCCGACAGGGATTTATTATACTAAACTAACATACAATAAATAAAACCAAAATACACATGAAGATGGTAGATGTACTTAATCTAAAGTGAAACATGCATGTTTTCCCCAGACCTCTCCTGTGTCTCTAAAACAAATGCTAAAACTCTTTGCGAACCTAAAGATAGACAAAGCTGCAGACCTTATTCGACCAGTAGTCCTCATAGAACAGAGGAATGAAATCACAGATATTGATACAATCCTGTTCCTCTTTCCTTTTTACAAAAACGGTGACAGCACAGACCCAGCAAATAACCGACCTAAATGCCAGACGCTTGAACATATTGTCGTCACACTTCAGTAATCACAATTTTCTTTTTCGACCTTCAGCATGGCTTTAGAGAGAAACATTCGTGTAAAACACTTAGGAAAATGCAAGTAATATCAGACTACCAGAAGTTCTTGCCCCCCCCCCCCCATTGTATCACACTTTGGAACCAGCTTTCCAGGATCATTGTCACCCTGTCTGATCTAGATCAATACAAACAGGCGATGGTTAAGATACAGTATTAGTTGACTTGTTGTGTTTTTACTTTTAATCTTCCTTTCACTCTTACTCTTACTAACATTTTAGCAATGACTTTCAATGTATCTCATTGTCCTGATAATGTTAACTTTCAGATATCTACTTTCTTCTATACCTTTCACTAACACATCCGACGTGTACTATTCCTGTTGAGAGGTAGTACTCAGAAATAGATAGATATCCATGCTTCATTGCACATTGCTGCTTATTTAACATAATTTACCCTAAAAATGCGTATGCTTCATTGCTCCAGGGACTTATATGTTATCTTTGTCTCTGATTGCACAACACTTTTTTTTATTAAAATGCATATATAATATGCGCTTTAATGTCTCTGCAATTGCTTTTTTACCAGTAAGCGCTAACGATTTACTGCATATTTCTGTAGATTCAACAGTAATATTATTTTTAGTGCATGTGTGCTATTGCTTTATTTTACATTGTTTCTTACTTAACAAAAGTTGTTTATATGAATATTTTTGTAGTTGTCCACTAGATAATGTTCCATTCTAAATATCTTAGATATAGCCCTTGCAGTTTTCAAGAGAAAGATTTTTGAAGTATTTAAAAAGCCATGACCCCCTGGGGCGGGACCAGTTACGATCCCAGGGTTTTAATTTCATTTTTTGTAGAGTTTCATCAGATGATGTTACACACAAAATACCTAAATAAAATCTAGGCCTTGTTCTTTCAAAGAAGAAAACTTTTTAAATTTCGTTTTTAAAATCTATTTTAGCCCTTCTGATCTAGATGTTTATTGTTTCAGTTGTTCGAAAAAAAATGACTTACGCACTGATGGACGACTGTAATTACAACAGCTCACCTTGAGCATTTTGTGCTCAGGTGAGCGAAAGAACAACAAAATAAGAAGAAACAAAGACACAAAATAAATAAATAAAACACAAACAAACAAATTGATATATGCAATGGGAAAACAAAAATAATCGTTTTATCATATCAAACGTTTTGTTTACTACACTTCTGTATTTTCTAAGCTCTGTTTCCAAATATTAAACTGTTTCCAAATATTAAGATTTTTTTAACAAAATACAAAATGGGATTTGTCATAGAACTAGATTACAGTGTTAATAATTTCTTGATTTATTATATAAATCTCTGGGTTTAAACTTTGTTAAAGAATTCGTTTTGTATCTTTTAACATATGTATGAAGTTTATAAATAGAGGATATTGAATGAGTGTAGTTTAATACTAAATTTATTGAACGAGTTGAATAAAATCATATTATGCGAGCCTCTGGCGAGCATAATATTGTTTTATTCAACGAGTTCAATAAATTTAGAATTGAATCTACACGAATATAATATTCTATTTATCACATTTTAAAAAAAGGAACAGTAAACTGTTAAAATGAGTAATTTTTCAATGACGCGCCCGTAGTGTAACGCTAACATTAGCGCGCTTTAATTAACGCAATGTTTCTATATAGCGCAAATGACGTCACGTCAAAGTGTTATTACACTAGTGTAATATCGTTTTTATTAAATGGCTTTATTACACTCCTGCGCCGCGGTTTATGTGATAAACACACTTATGCGATGTGTAATATGGCGCAATTGTAATGTTCAATAGAAAAAATGTAATATTTTTGTTATCTTATTTGTTTTCATAATTGTTTCAAAAGTACTATCGCGTTACACAAAAAGGAAAAAAATAGAACAATACTTAATGGTTTGAAAATTCATGTATAATGCCGTGGAACATATTATACAACTGAAAGTTGATATAGCACATGTCGTGGAACATATTATACAACTGAAAGTTGATATAGCACATGCCGTGGAACATATTATACAACTGAAAGTTGATATAGCACATGCCGTGGAACATATTATACAACTGAAAGTTGATATAGCACATGCCGTGGAACATATTATACAACTGAAAGTTGATATAGCACATGTCGTGGAACATATTATACAACTGAAAGTTGATATAGCACATGTCGTGGAACATATTATACAACTGAAAGTTGATATACTAGTAACACATGCCGTGGAACATATCTTAAATATTGGCAAAAATTGAAATTAATTGCAACATACATGTTGTTGTTTTTTTCGGAATGACGTAAAGATTTGTTATACATATGATGAAAATAATTTGTTTAGGTTATTTCTTCAGTTTAGCGTGTCATAACAAAAAGACTAATATTCTCAGTCAGTTCATTAGCCATGGTCGGAAGTGTCACTAGATACCTTCAATACATCAATGTGTATTGAACAGAAGAGCGACACGTTTAGGGCCCTCTACTAGTCGTATAAAATAAAAAAAATAGAATAAAACTGAGAATATACACGTAGGTGATAATAGTATGAAAGCCATGTGCAGTGCCTGCCTACCACCCCCCCCCCCCCAAACGATCTTGTTCGAACACCCAGTAGTCGGCATAACGTTCATTTCTCGGTATATACGGTTGATGGAGAATTGTGTTCTAGTGGTGTTAGCAGCAGTAGCTGTGTCAGTTTGAAAGCGATTGCACAGGTGGGTGTTCGGAATATAGCGGTATTTGGCACGCGTGTTGACGCGCCGTACTCCACTACGTGATGGATCTTCTGTACGTCCTGTTGCTTGAACACGTTGTCTATGGTGTCGAATAGCACAAGTAGAAAATCTATAGCGACGGCTTCTTTGTCATTTCAGCATTAAGCTTGACAATTGCACGTTTGTGTAAATTTTGCGGAATTCTAGGCAAAAGAAAAGAAAACTGAAAAAAATCAACGTCTTTTTCTTTTTGACATGAAAGTCAATAAAATCACAATGAAAGGTTTAAAATATTTACGAATCTACTGGTCCGTGCATGCACGTGAAAGTTGTGGTCAGCTAGTTTCTCCTGGAAAACGAATTAAAATCAAGTTAAATTTTGTGTTACATGGCACATTATTGTTCGCCCGAATGAATGAATTTGACATCTCCACTTAAACACAGGGGAAGTTTCATTCTTTCTTGTTCAGTATATTTGTGCAAACTTATTTCAAAATCATTTGATGAATGGAAAAGGCCTTATAACAGACCATGTTTAACTTTGACCTCAAAGTGTGACCCTGACCTTTGAAGTAAGAGTCTGGCGGTCTTAGCAATCCACCAATCTGTAATACCTTTACATTTACGGCTGTTTTCAAATACACATACTGAGAAAATATAAGTGCAACGAATATATATTTATATCGACAGTTTTGTAAAATTAATCATGTACAAAATGTCTACGAGAAACTCGTGTTATTATGTTTGCTGAATGTGATACATATACGAGCAAACGGACACGCTTTAGCCAGTCGTTTGAATAGAAAATCCTGTCATAGTAATAATCGATAAAATTGATAAGAAAAGTGTATAAAGATACATTGTATGTAAAATAAACCATGTTATGTTGACAATCAGCATTTAATAGTGTTTTTTTGGTAATTCTGTATAATGTAATTGTATGTATTTATACATTGACAAAGGAGCACATTTAAATATAACATCGGCCTATATTTGACTTTGACCATAGTCATAACTATTCCTCAATTAAATTTCGCGGGGATACATTGATCAAGGCATTATAATCATAAACATTTATATTCAAACTTCTTGACATTTCATTATATTACACTGACACTGATCAAGACTTCACTGCATTTACGTAAAAACACTATTTATGATGTTCCTGACACAAAAGTTATAACAACAATGAAGAAGAAAAAAATGCAAACAATATTGTTAATGTCATTTTAGTAGAATCCGCTTTGTTGCATTCATCGTCATTGCAATAACAAATCTCGCTCGTGGTTCCAGAAACATGTATATATTCACATCTCTCTGCTTGAAATCCAACCGTGCTGCATCCACGAGATACTGCAAAAGTATTCCAATATACTCCAATATACTACTTATACAAATTTTATTATTTTAAATGTACCGTAAAATAGAAAACACAATGTTCTTAGTTATCTACGGAAGAGTATACTGACCCCCCCCCCCCTTTAAATATTTAATATGCCTTAAAGAAAAAAAAAACATTTGTATAATACACATACCTTTAAAGAATTGACAGGTTATATGATAATATAAAATAGATATCTTATTAAAGAGTTTTATCTGTTATTATACACCCTAAAATCACAAAATAATATACATAGTTTCTTCGATGATAGTTGGTTCCAATAAATAAAAGCGGTTTACCCAAGGAAACGTCAGCTTTCCAAAGTAGCATTTCAATGAAAAGAAGAAAAATATATTTCTTATAAATAAAAGTAAGTTCTTAAGAAAGTCTTAACAGAGTCTTACTATCTTTAACAGAAGCCAAAGATATGAACTATATTAATAACTTAAAAAACATTACGAACTATGTTGTAATCATGTATCGTCTTATTTTAAACAGGCATATAAAATATCAGAGACATGTTATCTATGTCTCTGACAATATATAAGGGGGTCAGTAAACTTTTCCGTAATTACAACAATATTAAACTCTGATGATAATTGTATACAAATGTGTTTTATGTCACTTAATATGCGGAAGTTTAAGGAATAGATTTGAAGCGTCTATTTCTATATACATGTATATATACCTATTGCCATTTTGTTGAATTTTGTTGTGATATTCATTTTCATACAGGAGGAACTATCACAGTTTATCTTATTAGCGAAGTAACTGCTAAACGGAATGGTACAATCAGCACATTCATAACATTCAATACCTGAAAATAAATTGAAAATACGAAAAGATCTAGGTTGAGAATACGTTAAATAATATATCGCACCAGTTTCAAAACAACTACAACAACAAAGAACCCCAAGACTTTGAATATTGCATTTAAAGTAAAAGATAACAAGTGCTATATTATTCATTCACGAATTCGAAAACCTAGCTAAACGCCGTTTTCCGGTACTTTCTGTACATAGCTCTGGGGAATTCATCTAATGGAGTGTTGTTTCTGGCTTTTTTTTTATTAAAGTGAAATAAAAAGTTATTTCTTTGTATGAAAATAATTAAATATCATTGTATGAATAATTCCATACAAAAAATAAAGTAAATACACAAGTTTTCAAAGAAAATAACCTTATATATTATGGAAATTCCACTATACGGCTGTTAATATTTTATTGATTTTCATTTTACAAGTATTGTGAAATTGTCTAGCGATTGGTTCGTCCACTTTGAATATATTAATACAAAGTAAACGATTAAACTTAAATATCACATAAGGAATTAAAAGTAGGGCAACGGATTTTATAGAACGTTCTTACAAAATTTGGATAGACGAATTGATTTTACATGTCAAACTGTCGGCCATTATGCAGGTGTGTTTATGTTGCGAGTATTTTCATTGGCTGATGAAAAAACGCTATCCGTCGCGGCTATACGCCGTCATTATCCGGATTATTATTAGACGCCGCTTGCAAGCGGCGTCTAGTAGATATGCATTTTTCCATACAGCAATGGTGAAAATATTAGACTTGATTTTGTGCTTTTTTTATTTTTTGTTTTAACAAAATCACACTGTTCAATAAAAATAGCTTTTATGATGTACAACATGTCACGGAGCTTTAAGGAATTTGAATAAACGTCTAACTGAAATGATAATGCCATGTTTGAATATCATATTCTTTTTATCATTATTTAGTTTTATCTACATAATAAATAACGTGCCAATGAGCCAGTCTATAGTCGATCGTTCTAAAACTTAACCGTTGAAAGAGGTTACGACTGAGGCAGTGTCAATTACTTCATTAGCTCCGCCTCTGATGAAGTTCGGCTCCGCCTTAAATTGTCGCAAAAATTTTAAATGATGCTCCGTATGCTAGCACCTAGTCTTCGTTGACGGGGCAGATGGGAACCAGGACAACTTTGATCAATATCACTTGTCGAATCATTAAATTACAAGTCACAAAGCCTAAACCACGCCCATTATCAGAGAGGCGGTTCTTCCGCAACCGTAAACTCGTTACGCTACGGCCAGTAAGGGGAGATCACTGCAGAAAATTCGTCCTCTAAATCATTCGAACATTATGCAATATAAAACTAAATGGATATATTCTCGGCACAAATTGTCTTGAATTCATTTTAAGTATACCAATCATTTCAATTTTACTTGTTATCCAATTTATTTTGCTTCGACCAGACGTTTCAATCTTTGTCGCAACAGAAAAACATTTTCGAATTTCAGACATGGCATTACTTTGTGAGTTCTACTTGTTCACAAAAATATGCAACTTTATTACTAAACAACGAGCACGCACATACCAAGACTATGGAGAAAAAATTGATTTGTGCTTCGGATATTCAACTGTAATAGAGAACGATTTTCAATGCTGATTGACTGTTCACATCATTTGGCGGCGTCTTTGATGTGCAGCATTAACATTCAACTTGTTATTCATTAGCCATGAAATTGACAGTCACTAAGAGAAGTTGGGTTTAACCATGTAACATACGGGCACATTCAAAATGGAAGCCGAGGATAGAAATAATCAAAACAAACAAAAATTGTTACAATAATTTGTACCAGAAGTTAATCGTTGATGGTGGTAGATGGTTGATATTTAACTGATTACATGATTAAACTTTTTCATATGAGCATACGTTTGCATTAGATATCGTTTTACACGTGTAATTTTACAAACCGAAATTTTACGAACATGTGTAAAAATGAAACACGAAAGGTTATATTTAATAATATCTTGTCCATGTACCAAAGTGAATCTATTTTTTTTTTTAAATTATCGATTCTTTTATGTATGTCCAACAATCAAATGAAAAAAGCTGTCGTATACTGTGTTCTATTTACTTTTTCATGAATTTAGCAATTTTGTGTGGTATCCCTTGTAATATTTTATATACAGTGGGAAAAGAAAACAATGACAGAAGCCCCTGTGGGATATACTCCTGCAAATCGATTTTGTTTTATAGGACACATGTTTGACATTTTGATTTTTTTAAATGACACTATATATTACTATATCTCCACTTAAACACAGGGCAAGTTTTTTTAAGTAAACTTCTGAATAAGCCCAAATCCAAGGTAATTACAAGAAGGCCATGATGTCCCTGAACTCACTCACCTGAATATAGAAACTCTCCACATGGAACAAGTAATATTGTAAACTATAAACAAAAGCATATATAAATTTTAAATCTTAAACTGATATCACAAAGTTAATATTTGTATCTGAACTTGTATATAAACATTACTGGTTGCTATTGCTAAGGGAAAACAACAGTTGCAAAAGATGTGTACATATAAAGAAAATTAATGAACCCCTGGTGGCCAATTTTGACTCAAGGGGTTTTATTTGAAACAAACTTGGTAGACACTCACAAGAAAATGCTTAATATCTAAACTCTAGCTCCTTGGGGTTTTTAAAAGAAGATGTTTTAAGTTTTTCCTGTATACATATAAGAAAATCAATAACCCCCATGGGGCGGGGCCAATTTTGACCCCAGGGGTTTTATTTGAACAAACTTGGTAGACATCCATTAGAAGAAATTTCATGCTTAATATCTACGCTCTAGCTCCTTGGTTTTTTTAATAGAAGATTTTTAAGTTTTTACTATACAAATATAAGGAAAATCAATGACCGCCTGGGACAGGGCCAATTTTGACCGCAGGGCTTTTACTTGAACAAACTTGGTAGAAATCCACCAGAAGATGTTTCATGCTTAATATCTAAGCTCTAGCTATTTGTTTTTTTAAAGAATATTTTTATATATATATACATATAAGGAGAATCAATGACCCCAGGGCGGGACCAATTTTGACACTAGGGCTTTTTATTTGAGCAAACTTGGTAAACACCTATCTAAACTCTAACTCCTTGGGGTTTCTTTAAAGAAGATTTTTAAGTTTTTACTATAATACTTATAAGGAAAATCAATGACCCCCAGGGCGGGTCAATTTTGAGCCTAGGGCTTTTATTTGAACAAGATTGGTAGACACTCACTAGAAGATGTTACATGCTAAATATCTAAGCTCTAGTTCTTTGGGGTTTTCCCCTTATACATATAAAGAATATCAATGATCCCCGGGGCAGGGCCGATTTTAAACCCAGAGCTTTTATTTGAGCAAACTTTGTAGACACTCACTAGAAGATATCTTATGCCAAATATCTAAGCTCTAGCTCTTTTGGTTGATTTTTTTAAAAGTTATTTCTTTCGGTTGCCGTGTCAACCTTAGTTTTGCATTGAATTAAATTCTTTGAACAATTTTTAAAAGTGATTCCTGTGAAGTTTGGATGAAATTGGCTTAGTGGTTTATGAGGAGATGTGGTTTAAAGTAAAAACGGACGACGGACTAACAGTATTGGTCAAATTGCTTAAAAGCTCGTCAACTTCCGGATTAGATTTTTCGAAATGCGAGTAGAACTCTTTTCACTTGCAATTTTACTTTTAATTCGAAACATATTCCAGAATTTGATTGTTTTTTCCGCCTCATTTCATTTATTTTTTTTCTAGCCCGTTTAAATGCATACTGCTTCTTCGACTTCTTAATCCTTTCTGCATTTTTTCATATTTGAAAGATTTTCATCACTTGTATTCTTTTTAATTGCCTCTTTGTATTCCTGCTGATTCCCTTTACACATAATTTATTCATTTCACGAGTCTTTCCGTTGAGAAAGCTTGATTTTTTTACAGAAGATGATGTTTTATAAAACATTATGCAGTTCTGTGAACAAAAGTCTTAAGGAACTACACAGCGAAATCAGACAAACACTTAAACCCCACCAAGCTGGGTCAATTACAGTAACGTGACTATGACAAATGGGGCACATATATGCATAGGTATTGTGAAATAAATCCAGGAATGACATTATAAACAACCACTTTTATGAAAATATTATAATGACCTACAAATGAGACATCGACCTTATTCTTAGACGACATCATTACTTTAATTTATTAAATGAAATGTTTGACCGGGCATAATGTCCAATACAGTTGAACACCCCTGTGCATCTAATTTGATGCTCTTACTAAGCGGGCGAACTACTGAAATAGAACTAGCACTAATAATTTATATTGCTTTGTTGCTTTGTTAAATAAGTATATGTATGTATTTTGTTAATAAGTTTCATACAGGTATTTCCAATTCATTTGAATTATTACAGAGGACTGAATAGAATGATTTTATTATGAATCACGAACTTAAAATTTGTAAAATTCTGTAAAAACATATTTAGATATCCATTGAAAGTGTTTTGCCATATGTCCCATACAAAAATAAATAGAAATTAGTAATGATATATAGAGGATATTTGTTTGTTTGTGTGTAAGATGAAATAAAATTACATCTTACACAACAATCACATAAATTTTTCTTTTTATGTTATGCTTAAAAACAATTAAGTTTAAATGAAATTTCCTCAATATTAACTTTAATTTTAAAACCTGTTTTCCCCACTGGTAACCTCATTTTAGTCGACTTACAAGAAGTCTTGAGCTGAAAAATAAGTTCGACAATCAACGTTAAATGGCGATGATATTATTTATTTTATTCCAAAAGCATGAATGGTCCCTTGTTTTAAAAATGAAAACAAACAATTCTAGTAGAAGAAAAAGTCACACCAACCGACCTTATTTCCGTTACTTACTGCGAATTTAAACAGAAACAGTGAGTAAAACGAATGTATATATTTGGCATCCAATAGGAAAGTTATGTCTGTTTCGGTACACTTATGATTAAAAATATGTCTGACAACAATTTGTAATTTAAATATGCCCACTGATGTACAATTTCAAACAAATCCGACTAAATGTCAACAGGTTGGTTTTTTGTACTTTCGGTTTCTACAACCTTAATAATAAATATAGAAATAATGTATCGTTTGCTTTTGTATCTTTTAGGTGGACTTTTACTACATATATTGGAAATAAACTTGTCAACAATTCCCAGCATTAAATTGCTATTTGTTTACTTGTTTAGTTTCTTAGCGTAGGTTAGACCGAAAACCGCATCCTTTCTTTGTAATATACAAATGGTCCTTATCCGAAGACTGATGGAAAGGGCCGAAAAATTGCGATTGGAGTAATATAAGCGACCACCATTTTTAAAAGTTTTGTATTTCACAGGTGGGAAATAATTGTGTTTGATTCAGAGGGATAACATTTGGATTTTTTTATAAGAAAGGAAACTTATTTGAGGATTGTTAAAGACAATAAATAATTGTTGACAGATGTGTAAACATTTAAAAAGCGTCTACGAATTAGGAAAATATGGAATTGTTGAAAGGCTGTCTTACGAACGCTGGGTTATTATTCTCCGGGCTGATGACTGTCATTGCATTTTAAGTTTTTATTGCATTAGGCAATTATTGCTCGTAGCTAGGATACTTAAATATGCCCAAAAGTCATCAAGAGCAGTTTTACATATTGAAGGAAATGCATTTTTGAGACTGTAAAAATGAAACAAAATTTTTTAGAAACGATGTTTGGTGATTGGTAATTTGAATGAATTGAAGTAAGTTTTTTCTTTGCATTACTTCTGAAATTTAAGTTATTTATCAATTCCAGCTTTTCTTTTCTCTAAACAGCCTTGACAATGTCAGAATTGTCAGCAAAAATATAGTTAAGATACCACATGGTGAAAATCTTTAAAAAGTAGTCTCGCCATTTAAAAGTGTGAAATTATATTTTGATAATTTTCACTTTGAAATTATCAAATATAATTTCCACAGATAAATCAGTAATCCACTAAATAGCATAACATAAATCAATATATTACCAAAATAAAAAAGTTAGTAATTTAATTGTATGCCATAACAGCCCGACGCTATCTTCGGCCTTTTTAAAGACATTTTATTAATCTTAAATGATTTTTTTTTCTTTTCAAATATCTTCAAATAATTCAATATGTGTATAGAGCACATATTACACACACATTAAATTATTATGCTATTGGTGATTAATTAGAAAGAAATTTAATCTTACCTGCTGTATATTGAAACAAGGATGATAAAAATATAAGAAAACAAATCACTATTTTCATTATGTTATATTTCTGTATCGTATATGAAACAAAACTAATAAATCCTGCTAAGGAGAGAGCTATATCCTATTAAATGTAAAGTATGACAGGAATAGTGTGGCTGGTGATAAAACAATTGGATAATTTTAAATATCTTAACTTATTATTGTCGCTAGAGAGTTTACTATTCATAAATAATAGACGCTGTTACACACGTAGTACTGAAACTATGCGTAGTAAATGATACTGTTATTCTTTCGGGACTAACTGATAAACAGCTCTTATCTAAATGCCTTTTTATCATTGAAAAATCGCTTTATCTTGAAATTATTAAATATAATAAAATGATGTGAATATAATAAAAATTAAAATATTTCATCGTATTGTCGCCATCGCATTATCGCACTGTACGTCATCCATTGTCGCACTGGCGCCATCACGTTGTCGCCATCGCACTATCGCATTGTCGCATTATCGTACTGTCGTCATCGCGTTATCGCACTGTCGCCATCGCACTATCGTATTGTCGCCATCGCACTTTCGTATTGTCGTCATCGCACTATCGCATTGTCGCCATCTGGATTGTAAAGTATAACCACGATGGCTCTAACGGTATTCCGTAATTGCAAATCAAATATGTGACATTTGGCAAAATTTGTTCGGATCCCAGAGGTTAATTTTAGAGTAAAATAAGAACAAATATTGAAAAACTCGTCCGGAATTCGGAGTAGAATTATTGAAAATAGTACGAAACCAATCGGGACCGGACACATCGTTCGGATAAGAAAGGATTCCGGATTAGAAGGGTTCGAATTAGCAAGGCTCCACTGTATATATATATGTGTGGAGAAAAGGATGCGCATCGTCCAATACAGCTGTCGTGATAAAAATGATGAAAATAAAGGATGCCAACTGAAACTGTCGAAGCGGAACATATAGGGTCACGTAGTCACTAATATCATCCAGTAGTCAGCAGTAAAATAGATAGTCCCAATAGTACAATTTGCATTGTGACTACCTTTTATATGACTTTTGCGGTATGGAAAATGTGCATCCGATGAACAGAAAATACGTTATAAAGCGAATCTATCCATTATGTTTGATTTTTTTGTCAGAGCTAAAATTTATATTTGTTATTTTAAAGTTATTAACTAGAGAGCAATAAGGAGATTATGATCATTTTTCAATTAAAAAAAGCCTAACAATGATTATAAACTTTTTACAGACAATATACTTGTTGAAGTACTCAGTAATTATAGAACACTAACAACTTCTAAGGTTTTACAAAGTGTTTGATAAAACGGCTCATACACATAAGGAGATTCAATATTCCGTGACAAGAGTATATTTTCCCCGTACACTGGCGCATAAATGACGTCACGTTCACGTGGTGTTGCTAAATGCAAAGCGATTGATGATGTAAAATAATTATCTAAGGCAGTTCCTGGCACTTTCTAGTGGTTTCGGAAGTACAATACTTTTTCGTTATTTATCTATCTAACAGAAAAAATATCTATTTAGTCTGTTAGATGTTGTGTTAACACGAAAACTAACTATAGTCTGTCCCATCAAATTTGAATATTCCATTTTTTTATTTAATATAATAGTAAAATCATTTAAATTAATGTCATGTTAACCCTGACGTCAATATCTTTAGGCATGTTTTTTTTTTCATAGTCAGTAATATGGTCAAAATGTTAAAAGTATATTTTCCCCGTTGACTTACGTTGTAACCTGACGTGACGTCCATTTCAAAATGGCGGCACCCATTCAGACGTCATTTAGGGTTCGTCTCACAATTATCGTGAAATGTACTTAGTAATTATATTTTTTTTGTTATTTTTATTTACTTACTGATCAATAGCTAAATGTTATCATTAAAAAGAAAAATGAGAACAAAGTTGGTGTCAAAAAGGCAATTTTACTAGCAAACCATTATTTAAAATAATCAATATCATTTGAAGTGAAAATATCAGTAACCGCTTTATAATTTTCTAACACACACATATTTATATAATTACCATGATACACTGTCGTATTTTATATTCTTTTTAAGAGAAAAAGAGCAATGAAGTGATTTGATTCAATCAAGCGCGTATCTTGAATACCGCAACGCGTCGTAGGAACGGGAACACTAGCTAGAAGATTATAAAAAAAATGGTTCTTCGCTAATTAATGATTAATTTACATAATTTTGTAGTTGTCTGAATTCTGTCCATTAGAATGTATCACGTCTATTCAAAAATAATCAAATTGACCAGGTTCGATAGGATACAAAAATATGTTACCCTTCCTATTTCGGGTGCGATGTTCGTGCGCTTAAACTTTCTGTAGGTTTCAACTTTCACAAGAAATCGCCAACAAATACTATATTATCATGCAAATCTGACAAGAAATATATAGAACGGAGAACTGATTCACTATACATTCAGCATTGGTTTGCTTGTTACCACAGTGTCTACTTTAACTAACTCCCTCGCTAATGAGAGAACACAGACTCGCGTTCGAGGAAAATGTAAATTATAAGAATATATAATATCATGCTTTCTTGTTTGAGCAATCAAATGTCTCACAAGTCAACAAAAATGTCCAGAAATACCGGCAGTGATTTGATATTATTAAATATAAGTTTGCATTGGAGCGTTCAATAAGCGACAATAAGTGTGTGTTTTTGTAGCCTTAAAGTGTTACATATTATGTTATATGAATGGAAGATCGTGCAAAAGAGAAACACCGAGTGACGTCTTCAATAATTTTAGTCTTCCTAAAATTTTAAAATATTCAGCGAAAAAACAATAGCATATTAATTAATGGCGAATTTAGAATGAAGACATACGTCAGAGTGTGTAAAATTGCAAATTGTGTGTGTATCATGTGAGGGTCAGACCTATTTTCTCGTAATCATGAAAGTTTAGGCCCAATTATGAAAAAGTTATAGAACGTCGAATGTACAATTTCGTGATGCTATAAATTCAATTGCTTTTCGTATACATTGTTATTTGAATACTATATTAACAAGTACAAATATTGCTGCAATGCATGCAGCAATTGAGAAGCTCAAATAATGCACACATTACAGACACCTTACCAAATCATTGCTACACACAGGTCATTTTCTATTTAGATTAAGTACTATTTATTGTACATCATTTCGGATGTTTTGTAAATAATTTAAATTTGCATAATTTTACTTATCGTATGCACTATCCATGAGAGAGAGGCCAGATATTAGATTTAAAAAAATATGCTTTCACTGATGCCTACCTACCTGATAAGGAAAGTAATTCCAATACAAAAAAGACTTACAGGACTTGTAATGTGACATGACAGCAGTGCAACATTGTTCTGTTTGTGTCACTACTGTAGTCAGTAATATTAGATGATAAAAAATATCAAAGCATGTAAATTTTCTTTTTCACCTATAATGATACTCATTTTCTACAAATATCAACACCTAATCATGGTAAAAAAATATAAAAATCCAAATGTAATAAGCCAAAACAAAAACTTTCATCGACTTTAATTTTCAAAATGTCCGTTATATGTTTTACGGCAAATTGTATATCATGTTATAACATGAAAGGCATTGATGCAAAGCATCAAAGGGACCAAGGGCGTCCAAGCAAGAAATGCAGCAGCAAGTGCGGATGAAGTAAGAGACTTCTGATGGCCATATTTTCTTTTCAATGGTTAATTGGATTTAACCAGAATAGTGTATCATAGATGAATGTGTGGACGAAAGATATTGTTCACCATGAACTTTAGTAGGCTTGCTAGAGATTAGAATATTTAATGTTTTTTCTTTGGAACATACAAAACAGTAGTCAAAATAAACAACTTCTGTTTTATTTTGTTATTATACTTGTAACAAATGTACAAACAGTATATAAAATAGTAACAAAAGGGACTAATATAGTAATTAATATTGCATGCTCGGGCACCAACCGTTCCTCGGGATTCTGCAGACGTTATAACACGGAAAAACGTGCGTTAACCCTATGATATAATGGAAGACTGTCACCTGAATTTTAGACAGGTTTATGGATAGCTATTGTTAACTGATTTATTGGGAGATCAATCTATCAAAAATTGGGAAATCAGGATCGATTAAAATATCCACGGTAAAAAAATGTCAGAAGTAGAATCAGAGGAGCTGTTAATTTACCGGAAAGAACCTACGGAAAAGATAATACTATGATATAACAATTCGTAAAAATAGCATTCTTAAATTATTTCGATAAATTTATAAAGATTTATTGTTGAATATGTTTGCATTTCATTTTCATTTCCTGCAAAATTATCCAGTTCGTTATTTAATACCATAGCGCGACACGAATAACCGTTTCGTTTAGTTTCTGACACGCTAAACTAAAACTACTTCTATAAATAGATTTTCGTAAAATTTGTTCCCGGTCTCATTCATTAATATGACATGCTGCGTATCACCGAAGGGGAAACCAATATATGACTTTATATAATAGAAATCGGAAGGAATTCTTCTTTCCGAATTTATTTTTAGCTGTAAATCGAAGCCTGTAGGCGCGGAGCAATAATATCTCTCTCGGTTTGGATCGGAATATCCATCCCGATGGACACATGTCAAATAATTTTTCTTGCATATTCTATCATAATTTACTCTTTACCTCAACAAATCATTTTTTTTTTCATAGAAATTAATGTCATTACTTTTTTTACAAAAGCGTACGAATTCATAAAGGTGAAATGACGTCATCCGTAGGATTAAATACGCCAAAGTCATTTCATTTTAACGCGGTTAATTTATAAAATGCGCTTAAATGACGCGACTCATCTGGTACCCTCATGCCTGACGAGATTTCCAGAATTGGTACAACTAACGGAATCACCGGTCTGATATGCAAGAATGTTAATTTCACTAACAATTTACAATTGTTGATTGGTGAAGTAAATGTAAAACCTCAAATCATAAGAAAATCTTTATAGTTTATGGTTTTTTCTCCTTATGTCTTGCAGACTGGTGGAATGTCCTGATAAATTGTCATCATCTAGATTGTTTATCTAGTCCTTCTGGTCGAGCAATGAGGCTACGTTAATAATATCTGGTCGGCCGCATCGTAATTTTTGTCATTAGATCGATTCCTA